ATCTCGACAGCGCAGAGGCCACGGAGATGCCGCTAAAGAAGGTGATGCACCCAAAAGGAAAGAAGCGACCCAAGCCAGGAGATGACGAGCCCCACCCTCCTCTCGGTGACGGCGGCGACGCAGCAGGGCATCAAGATGGTGAAGACACCGTAGACTTAGAGAAGGAGCTCGATCACCTCTTAGAGGAAGCTGGCATCGACGATGTCGGCGCCCCTGGTGACGACGAGGAGGTAGGGTCCGAGGCCGACGGCGGCGAATCTGAAGATGAAGAGCCTGAGGACGATGGCTTCGCACCTCCACCACCTCCACCGCCTCCACATCATGAGCCCGACGGCGGGAAACCACCAGCCCCAGGTCCATCAGCAGCAGACGTGGTACACCCATTCAACCATCTCAATCAGGACGACCAGCTTCTAGCTACAGATGCGTGCCTCGAAAAATGCAGAGTTCAGAAACGAGACGTGCAGCTCGCTGTCGACTTGGCTCGAGATCATAGCGTTCGGGATCCCGAAGATGGGTGTATATCTTTGATCACGATGGAGATCACGGGTGATGGTGACTACCTCGTGTTGTTCGTCAAGTGGAGTAGCTGCGGCAGCTTCGATGGAAGACCAGTGTCCCTCGACAAATCCAATAGGGTCAAGTACTTGGTGCCAGCCAAGAAGGGTGCGACAACTGGGCTCGGAGTGCCAGAGCAAAGCTATATAGGTTGCAAGGTGGTGATCGCGCACGTGCCAGTGCGGATGTTCAAGCCCAGGCCAGGTCGGGATACCATGCCCTCATGGTGCCTACTTCTTCGAGACCTCCACCAAGCTAAACAATACAGTGGGCCTCAAGAAATTGCCCAAGGTGTGTCGCCGTGCTTGTTGTGCGGTACTTCAGTTGTTCCTGGGTGTCCAATGCCAGAACCGAGTTTTGTGTGCTCTTCGTGCTGTTCGCTGTGGCACCCGACCTGCTCTGCGTGGGCGGCGAGGCGATTGGGCGTCGATGTTGGGCCTGCAGCGGCTATGGGCGAGCCTCCATGGCAGTGCGCTGCCTGCGCGGCGCTGGCCTGTTGACGCAGGCCGTCTGGGGCATCGCAAACACCAACCCCACGGGCTTGAGCCAAAATGGCCACGGGTGGCTAGGGGAATAATGCGGAGAGGGAGGCTGATTATGAGGAGGATACTGGGTGGAGGGAGTAGCCGTTATTTCCAACAAAAACAAAACAATATGAGGCTCAACACGAGGATGAGGAGGATAACATGAGGAGAGGAGGAGGAGGAGGAGGCGGAGGATGAGGAGGAGGAACCCGCCGAACCGCCCCGACCCGAAGGCTGCACTACCTCACGTCGTGGGTGATGGCGCTGCCGAGCGCGGCGGGTGGAGGAGCGGCCGCTCCGCTGGCTCAGGACTCCCGCTGGTCAGAGGAGCCCGAGGATGAGGAGGAGGGGGGAGGAGGAGGAGGAGGAGGAGCAAGGGGCAGGATCACTAGGGGGGTAAGACTAGCAAGTGCGAGGGGAGGGAGGGGGCACATTGCTGAATGCAATGTCAGGGCACACGTCCATACACAACGTGAGCACGAGCCCACGGGGAATAAAAATGCCAACAATATCCCGAAAACCAAATCAAAACCAAAAAAAAAAAACGAAACGAAAACAACGGCCTTGCAGTATTAGTAATACGCGTGTGGTGCTGTTTCGCTTGATGAGGTCTACTGCGAACCATCTTAGTCCAGATGTTGATTTGACAGCTGTTGTCAAATCAACGCCTTCCAAGGCGTGCGATTTGACAGCACCTGTCAAATCACATAGCTATCAAGACGTCCATTTGACAGGGGCTGTCAAATCGAGGTCGGTACACACCCCTGGATTTGACAGCACCTGTCAAATCACATAGCTCTCAAGACGTCCATTCGACAGGGGCTGTCAAATCGAGGTCGGCACACACCCCTGGATTTGACAGCACCTGTCAAATCACATAGCTATCAAGACGTCCAGTTGACAGGGGCTGCCAAATCGAGGTCTGCACACACCCCTGGATTTGACAGCACCTGTCAAATCACATAGCTCTCAAGACGTCCATTTGACAGGGGCTGTCAAATCGAGGTCTGCACAGACCCCTGGATTTGACAGCACCTGTCAAATCACATAGCTATCAATACGTCCATTTGACAGGGGCTGTCAAACCGAGGTCGGCACACACCCCTGGATTTGACAGCACCTGTCAAATCACATAGCTACCAAGACGTCCATTTGACAGGGGCTGTCAAATCGAGGTCGGCACACACCCCTGGATTTGACAGCACCTGTCAAATCACATAGCTACCAAGACGTCCATTTGACAGGGGCTGTCAAATCGAGGTCGGCACACACCCCTGGATTTGACAGCACCTGTCAAATCACATAGCTATCAAGACGTCCATTTGACAGGGGCTGTCAAATCCAGGGGGTGCGCAGGCCTCGATTTGACAGCCCCTGTCAAATGGACGTCTTGATAGCTATGTGATTTGACAGCACCTGTCAAATCCAGGGGGGGGTGCAGGCCTCGACTTGACAGCCCCTGTCAAATGGACGTCTTGATAGCTATGCGATTTGACAGCTGTTGTCAAATCGCACGTCTTGGCAGGAGTTGATTTGACAACAGCTGTCACATAAAAAAACTGAGGCGCGCTGTGATCGACAGCGCGGCCTGGGTTCAACGTAAGCCCGAACGTCCAAACTTTAAAGCAAAACAAATCGAGGCACCCAGGAGGCAAGTTCGAGCGACAACATTCGGTATCACATTTAATGGGGGAAAACCAAACTTTAAAGCAACACAAACGACGGAATCAAACAAAACAATAACGAACCGAACAAACAACACAAACAACATACAAAAACAATCCACAGGTGTCGCCGCAACACTTGTTTAATTTGATAGCTGCCGCCTCTCCGTGCTGGACGTTTGAAAAGCTGCGCGCCACGAGTATCGCAGTCAGCATGGCGCTGGAAGGAAATCCGAAGACCCACTTTCAATAGGCAGAGCAGAGCTCGGCAGGTATCCGCTGGCGCCACAAAAAAAAACGCACACTGAACAAACAAAAGCTGGCACGCCGTGAAACACCCCAGCAAGTACGACCGCAAACAGTGAGAGCGACTAGAGATCAAACACAAAAAACTAAACAGATCGATACATAAAACTCTGAAGGAAGTGCTTCACCCAGCCGGCGTGTCGGGCCTCCAGAGGACCACGGCATTGATTTCTTGAAGTTCGGCCGCGAGCAGGTCTGGAGCAACGACGGTGCCTTCAAGACGGCGGAGGAGCGCTTCGCAGGGTACACGGGCCTGGAGTTAATGCAAATCATCTTCCATTTCTACCCAATCGTTTTGCACTTCGATGTCCCTTTCATCGACTCGGCAGGCCAGTGGGCCATCTCACGGGACAGGACGAACAGCGCTCGCGGTGACGACGCTACCATCGAGGAGAGGGCCGTCAGCATCGAGACCGTGGGCTTGCTTCACGGCCTTGGCGGCGGCGCGTGGCTGAAATCAACCGCGAAGGAGAATCCAATCAGCCCGTCTGCTACGTACACTACTCTGCATTGGGGTTCCCGTTGCGATGGAATGAAGCGTGCTTATGACAGGAGCCCAAAGAAGCTCAACGCGAAGGTTCAGATGAGCGTGAAAACTGGCTTGAAGGACACAACGATCTTCCCCGTCGACACTCCGACCGACATCCTCGAGAAGCTGGTGTCCCTTGGGAACTCCATGAACACGAAGGTGCTCGCGACCACGTTCATCGAGGTGATGGAGTCGACGGACAAGGTGGAGGCCCTGTGGGAGAAGCAGAAGATCGACTACGGGTGGAGCCACGGGAGCATCGGGCAGGGCGCGATGGAGGCCAACAAGAAGGCACTCTTCCAGGCCGCCTTCGATAACCAGCGTTGGGGTTCCACTCCGATGTACGAGAACTGCCTGAGCTTTTACAAGGCCGTCGTGGGCGGCGGGAACAGCGATGGCACGGGGGGCCAGCGGGGGCCCTTTGAGCCCCGATGGGGCCATAAACACATAAAAGATAAACGTGCGTTTAAACCATGGTAACACAATGACTAAACGCACGCTTTAAGCATAGAGTCAACCATGATAGTAAGGATGGGGCAACTTTCCAAAGCTACCCTTGCATCCTTGCCCCTTCGGTATTCGGCATCCCTCGGTCTGCTGCTGCGCTCCGCACTGGAAACGTCAACATGGCGTTCCATGGCCCTTGCATCCTTACCGCGCATCCTTTCTACCCTGGTCGAGTGAGTGTAATCATAACATGCAACATAGGCTGCGAAGAAAATCAAGATGGAGGCGCACGGGCCGACTGCTACCTTCTGGGATGTGTTTAAGGACTGGTGCAAGGCCAACGTGGACTTCACTCGCAAGCACGTGGAGTAGCACAGGACGATCTTTGCTTGGCTCGCCACGATCATCAAACAATTCAAGGACCAGCCCGACAGGATGATCCTGCTCCTCGAGATGGTGTTCCGTTTAATCAGGTTGCAGGACGCAATGCACTTTCGGATCGGTCTGCAAGTTAAACTCCAACCCCCGAGCCCAACAAACATCCAAGCCAATTGTTTCGGCGGCAATCGTCGCACTGTCCGTTAGCTACCCTCTCCCCCTCTGGGAATTCGGAGGTGTTTTACAGAACGCACTTCCGACTTCCAAGATATGTACTTCCTCCTCCTCTTCCTCCTCCTCCATCTTGCATCATCTTGGGTCTGCTTAGTTTTGCATCTGGGTCCCTGGGTCATCCTGGCTCGGGGCCGGTTAAGAGGGGGCCAGGGGGAGTACGTGAACTGAGGAACTGAGGCAGGTGAGGGGAGGATGAGGCTAGGGGGTGGTGAGAGAGGGGGAGCAGAGGGGGGAAGGGGATGGGTGGGATGGGGGGGGAGAAACTTTTTTTGCGTCGGATCCTGAAGGCCGATCGGCAAGTGCCCCGTGCTCGAGGAGGGCTTGCCCAACCCTGCCTTCAGCAGCCCCATCGCCGAAGCGATGATCACGAACGGGCTGCTTTGGGACATGGGGACGAGTAAGGTGCCGGAGATTATCGGCCAGGAGGTCAAGGACTACCAGAAGGCAGTCGTGGAGTCGCACATCCTAGAGAGAGTGAATGAGGATGCTGCCCCATCGCCAGCGACGCCTAGTTCGATCTCCATCGCCAGTGGAAGCGTTGCGTCGGGCTCTTCAGCACAGACCCCGCAGAGCACCGAGAAGCAGAAAGGCAAGGGCCGCGGTCGTGGCAAGGGCAAGGGGTCGCCAGCTGCAAAGGTCCATGAGGTGCAAGAGGTGGGGAAGACCTATGCCGAGAGCGTTGACTACCTCATGAGCTACCTTAGGAAGATCAGCGCGGACGACCCCCACATTGAGACCTACAAGAGGTTGTTCACGTTCGCTGCCCCGAGGGGGCAAGTCATCTTGGACGGCAAGGCCGTCGGGAAGGAGCAGGTCGTGAAGAAGTTCAGCATGCTCAGGAATATCATCAAGAGGCAGGTGTACAACGCTGCGAAGCTTGCTGGCCCTCGGATTTCCGACGTTGACTTCCCGCATGGTTTGGGTCCAATCAATGGTGGCGGTGCTTCGCAATGCAGGTCGATCGTTAATATTTCTGAGGAGGTCGCCGAGAACATGATGGTAGAGCAGCTGCCTTTCGTCAAGAAGATCCTGGACTACTTCGAGATGAACCCGATATCTGCCAGCATCGACTGCCACATGGCGCCAGCGAGGATCTCCAACGAGGTGATGATGGATATGTGGACTTACATCGACGCAGACACGACACCTACGAAGCTGCTGATGGAAGGCTTCGTGCCAACGACGTGTGCTAAGGTCTTGCAGGTTCTCCCGTGCGAGTTCGACGAGGCGATCGACCAGTGCGAGGCTCTGCTCCAGAAGAATGAAAGTTTCAAGCAGCGGGTTTCCGAGAGCGGTTCACAACTGGAGGCCTTCAAGGAGGTGCTCAACATGAAGATCAATTCGACCGTCGTGAAGCACGTTCGAGTGCAGCTCCTTGCCAAGGTCGTTCAGCACTTAGGGACGATGAACTTCAAGCGTGAAGTTGGGGATGAGGTCAAGATGGATCCATGGGTATCGAGCTTCGTCATTTCCTTGATGAAGGTTGCGTGCGAGTCCCACGCCGTCAACTCCAAACTCGGTGAGATGGCGGATTATGTGACCAAGATGACCCCCGTCATAGAGATCTACACGAAGGCTGCCATGCCATGGGATGAGTTCGTGAAGGTGTGGACCGATAAGATTAACAATATGTCCCAAGTGATTGCGGAGGTCGACGTCGACGGCTTCAGGAGGAGCCACGACGCCACCATGGATGAGTTGAAGAAAATGGACATGGCACAGCTTTCCCGAGCTATGTGGGCGCAATTCGAGAGCACGTTCAAGTACGGCATGACGAAGGCTAACGCCATCTCAGCCTACCAGAAGCAGTGCAACGTGACGGGGTTGCAGAACGCCTCCTGCCCCTCTTCCTCCTCCGAATCTTTCCCCCCGCCCTTCCTCTTCTCTCCTCCTCTCTTCTCAAGGCGGCCTTGAGAAGAGAGGAGGGGATGAGTCCTAAGGCCTTGAGTCAAGGCCTTAGGACCCCCTCCCCTTGCCCAGAGAATATGCTCCTCTTCCTCTCTCCTTACCTTCTCCCAGGCGAAGTTCCAGAAGGAGCTCATGGTGCTCGAGTGGCTCAGCGGGGGCACCGTCGGCGCGGAGCGCGTGGTCATCGAGGGGTTGCGCAACGAGTACGCCCCCCAGGTGCAGCAGGCCGTCGCCCCGATGAAACCTGGTGGACCAGAGCCGTTGGATGATGATGATGATGATAGGGAGCTAACTCTTAAGAAGGTTGCCAGCAAGGCGAAAGCAGACGAGGAGGCGGAGTTCAATCTCACCGGCGTTGAGGAGAAGCTCTTGGTTGGTAAGGTGCAGACGCACCTGAACGAGCTCAACATGATGTACGTGCAGAACGGCTTCGGGGGGTCCGACAAGCTCGGCATCGACATGATCCAGTGCGGCAAGGAAGCGCGCCCCGTGCTGAGCCAGACGTCCGAGGGCAACGTCGCGATCCCATACTGGGGCCGCGTCCAGACCCAGGCATGCGGGCAGACGATGCACCCCAAGAGCGCGATTCCCATGGAGGTCGTGGTGGATGGCACGCCTGAAGTCAAGACCCTCCTCTTCCTCGACGGCTTCCTGTGCAAGAACGAGAAGTCGACGGAGTTTTGCCCAGCGTGGGTCGCCGCTGTCTGGGCTCCGCCGAAGAAGGCAGGGATGGGGGAAGAGGAAGAGGAGCAGCAGAGGAGGAGGTGGATGGGGACCGAACGACTCATCCAATCGAAGGGCCGTCCAATCGAAGGGGTGAGTAGTTCGGCCCCCTCATCGACCTCCTCCGCCCTGCCGTCCTCATCCTCCTCTTCCCCCCGCCTCCAAGGCGAAGGGGAAAGAGGGCGCCTCTGCAAAGGGCAAGAAGCGCAAGGCTGAGGAGTCCGTCGTCGAGCGCGGGCCCCTGGCTAGCCACGTGCTGAAGTACGCGGTCCAATCGTTCGAGGTCGGCGCGAAGAAGTACAGCGTGTCCATCCCCGTGCTGGAGGCGGCCGACATGCAGTCGACGGCGCCGTTCCCTGTCATCCGCGGGAGGGTGGGCCACGACGACTGCGAGAAGCAGAAGGCCATCCGCTCGGAGAAGGCTGGCTTCGCCCAAGGCTGAGCCTGCGCGCCTGTGCGCTGGACAGCTCCGCCTGAGCTGAGCTCGAGGCCGAGCCTGAGGTCGAGTTGTTTTCTTGAGGAGGGGATTGGAGGATAATGAAGGAAATAAGGAGGAGGAGGAGGGAGAGAAGGAGTCCGAGGGGAAGTGGGATGGATGGAGAAAGGAGGGAGTGAGAAGAGGAGAAAGAGGAGGAGCGACGAGAAGGGAAAGGTAAAAGGAGGAGGGAAGATGGAATATATGAATACGGAATACGATACTAGGAGAGGGAGTCGGCGGGATGCCGAGGAGAAACAGGGAAAACGGAGGAGGAGGAGGACCCAGGCAAGTAGGGCAGAAGAGCTGCACCAGCAGCGGCTCAGATCCATGCACGCTTTTTCTCTTGAGTTTGCCGCCTCGGAGGGCGTCGAGAGCCCTCTGGCGGCGGCGGCCGTGGTCGCGCAAGACGGCCCTGGAGTCCGCGGCGGCCACAGAGTGAGTGAGACATCCTCGCAATTATCATTGCCGCCATTCGTCACTCCATAACCGCACAGAGTAGTACACGCCCCCAAAAAGCAATGTCAAAACACAAGCGGCGACTATATGTTTGAGACCATACGAATACACACCAAAGGATATACGTGATTTTCGTATTGGGTCGTGCAATTCGGCAACACAATCGGCAAAAGTTGGCGAACGGGTTTCGAATGATATTGCGTCTGTGTGGCGATTTTATGTACCGTCATCCGCGTGATATATCCAAACACATACACTTTTGGCGTATATGTTATCGGAATCACAGACTTCATGCATATTCACATGTTAAGGTTTCATTATGTACCGAGCCACAACGACCTTGCATAGTCAAACGGCCTAGACGGCTCTTCCGTCTGGGATACAACCATCCCATACTGCTACTACTGCTACTACTACCACTACTACTACTACTACTACTACTACCACTACTACTACTACTACTACCACTACTACTACTACTACTACAACAACTACTGCTACTACTACTACTACTGCTACTACTACCACTACTACTCCTACTACTACTACTACTACTACTACCACTACTACCACTACTACTAGTACTACTATTGCTACTACTCCTACGACTACCACTACTACCGCTACTACCGCTACTGCCATTACTACCACTACGGCCACTACTACCACTACTACCACTGCTACCACTATAATACTACTACTACTGCTGCTACTACTGCTACTACGACTACTACTGCTACTACCACTACTACTGCTACTACTACTACTGCTATTACTACTACTGATACTAATACTACTCTCGCTGCTACTACTACGTCTGCTATCACTGTTGCTATTTTTTGTTACTACTACGTCTTCTTCTGCCAATACTACTACTACTACTACTACTACTGCTATATCTACTTCTTCTACAGCGACCACTACGGCTACTACTCCTACTGCTACTACCACTATTACTACTACTGCGACTACTACCGCTACTACTACTACCAGTACTACTACTACTACTACTTCGACTACTACCACTACTACTGCTACTGCTACTACTACTACTACTACTACTACTACCACTACTACCCCTACTGCTACTACTACTACTACTACTACTACTACTACTACTACTACTAGTACTACTGCGACTACTACTTGGACTACTACTACTACGACTGCGGCTACCGCTACTACGGCGGCGATTATTCTTACCACTATCACTACTGCTACTATTATGACTACTACCACCGATTCTACTACAACTGCTACTGCTGCTACTACTACTACTACTACTACTGCTACTACTGCTGCTACCACAACAACAACTACTACTACTACCAGTACTATCACTACTACTACTACTACTACTACTACTACTACTACTAATACTACGACGACTACGACTACGACTGCGAGCATTGCTACCATTCTACCACTGCTAATACTGCTTGTACTGCTACTACTACTACGCTTAGTAATACTACTACTACTATTACCTATTACTGCAACGGCTATCTATGCCGCGAC